TATGCCGTCTCCTCACACAACAGATACACTTCACACCCATTGTCAAGTAACGTTATCCATTGCGGGTCATTTACAAAAGGCTGTGTCAGAGGGAAACTGACTTATGGTGGGCCCCCGTCGGTAGGTCTATCCTCTGTAGCCTCCTTCATTGCGCCGGAGCCTGCGTGGGAGTTTTCCAGTCTCCATGATGCCCCTTGTTTGTCCGCCGAAAAGCATCCTATCTCTGGGCGCAGACCCTTTGCTGAAGCTTCTTGGTTTTTTGCATGCGTTTGCAGTTTCGGATTATATGTCCCGACTCACTATAAGAGAAGTAGATGAATTTTTTGGAACCCGTTCGAGGCTGCCTGCGAGCACGGGCAGTTTTCAGGCTTTGGATTCTCGCTTCCCTTCGACTGTGGAAGCTAGGGCAGTTAACACAGCCCTGGCATTCATGGGCTGTATCACCCAATTCCGCTTTTCCTTTTGAGCTTAGGGGTTGCGTTAATTTGTTCGTAAAAGCTCAAGAAGTATACCATAGGTGGGAGCCCCACTGGTCAGTTGCCTACTCGCTGAGTCACTGCCCACTTTATGACCACCTTAGTGACACTTTGAGTAACTCTGAGAGAAAGAATACAGCAGCTGCTCGTTTAGGTCAAGGCTTTTGCGAGCCAAAGCTTCATGCGTCCCAGATTACCACTCTGTTGATGGATCTGTCTGCTTCAGCTTTTTCGTTTGTCCCAATGTTTGTTGCTGAGCTGATCTTGGCGTGTAACGATGAGTGAGGGCATGTATGAGAGCTTGAACTGTGAGAACGCCTTTAGGCAGAGGTGGTTCTCAGCATAAAAAGAGCCGCCATTTGAATGCATATTTTTCCAACAAAATCGCCAAAAAAGCACTCGTTTCTCTTAACCTACATACCCAAAGCGAAGGTCTTTTCCCACCGCCCATTAGAGTCGCCGTGTAATTGCCTATCTATACGGTTGTAATGCATTTATTTGCAATGCCTGATCAATGCATTGATTTTTTAAAGCGGCTGCCAGTTTCTGGCTTTCATTAGCTGTGGAGTGGCTGCGCTCAAATTAACTTGCAGGGTGGCATTTACCGCCCCATGTACCATCGTCTACATCCATTGCCGGAGGGCGTTTTCACAAAGTAGTGCCGAAAAATATCAGATTGTCTTTCACCAAATAATTTGACCTAAACCGGACAGCTGTTGAAGGGGAACCTGGCATCCCACTTCATCTACAGCCACTGGATGAGCGGGTAAGAGCCACGTCGAACCAAGCGTTGACCAATTGTAGCGCACCATCGAAAGTCTTAGTCTGAAAAATCTCAACTCCAGACCCAATACAAACTCCATAGGAAGCATAGAGCTTTCCAAGAAAGCTCCTGCGGTCCCTCCCCCGTTCTTAGAGTTCTCAAGGGGACGGGGGCATGGACGGCTTGGCTGGGAGTTGCGGCACCCCCTCAGCAGTCCGAGCAATTAATGCTGCTCCACACAGCACCCACAACATACGCGAACAATACTGTGTCTTCTTGTATCAGGTGCCTTGACTAAAATTGAAGAATACCCCTAACCAATTCGTTAATTCTTCCCAATTCTTATGTAGATGTAGTGGAAAATGTTGAAGTGTAGCTTAGCCCGATACATTAAATGGAACCTTGCGGCCTTCTTCATTACTGTTGATTCAATATGCACCCATCAGTCGGATGTATTCACATGCTTCCTTCGTCGCTGCGCAGAAAGGTCATGTCCGTTTGCGTGCGCACTCACATACACTATTTTTTGCTGCAACTTTGTCTCAATACAGCAACTTGAATGCATTATGCTCACTCCACAAGAATCCAAAGCTACTCTATCAAACAAACAGAGTGCTACAGGCTACGTCTTCCGCCTGTGTGCCATTGCTTTGATAGTTAAGGGACTCCGCAACTGCTACAGAGGGATTGCACAGTGCGTCACCCCCAGAAGTTATGCGGTAAACACATAGGGGATAAAAGTAGCAGAGGATTTACACCTTTAATTATATGAGCCAATTAGTGGTAAAAGAAGTTTTTTACTGCGTGTGATCTACGGCCACTTCACAGCCCCTTTCTTTGCCAGCAACGTTCGTCGTTGCGGCACTGTAGCCGCACCCCACCAGCGGCACTCAGCGGCCGGTTTGCTTTTTTGTAAGGGGAAAACTTTTGGCTCTGTTAATCTTCGGATAGCGTGTCTATTGGAGTGACATGTTAACAAATCCAAATATAACACTTTGCCGTCCTAGTAGTCTGACACCTGGTTTTGTCGGCTTGATACGGGTCAGAACACCGAGCACTTTTGCGTCATTCTTGCTTCATAGTGATTCATTGAACCGATTGGCATAACTAGACGAAAGTGTACCTGGCGTTGTCGAGATCTGCAACTTTCTTTGCGTGGCAGTCACCGGCCGCCCTTTCAGCAGGAGTTCCGGGTGCAACCAGACCTGCATGGTGACGTGAAGCAGGCTCTACACTCTTGCACGGCGCATTCTTTATTTACATATACCTTGTAATACCGCCAACTTCGTATGCCATAGTCGGCTGGGGTGTTTGCTGGCGCTGCATCATGCATACAGCAGTCCAGGTTACGCATCAATTCAGCGTTTTTCCATCATCAAAGTCGAAGCCTGGGAGTTTCTCCCCTCTTGTCCTGCGAAATCGCATGTGCAAATCGGAGGCAGGCTCGAACCCCGCTCGGCTTTTATCGCGTTTTTTGTCACCGCCACCGTTCCTCTTCTGCTTTTTACTGCTACAAATTGCGATGCTTGGATTCCTCACTACTGGCGCCCGCGCTACTCAACAAGCTGCATCTCGCCTTCTTCAGTCTCCTTTCGCCGCCTCATTTGTCGCTCCCTCCGCAGGGGCCTTTGCTTCCGTTTGTTCCAAGCTTCTTTCATCCCGTTCAGGAGACGCCATGAGCCGCTCTGCCCCTGCGGATTCATCCTGCAAGTCGGCAGACGTAAACACGTGCCAGTCCGGGGGTGTGCACTCGCCCGTAGAGCACCCCGCGTTTGATCTCCTGCAGTCGCAGTATGTTGCCGAGTACGACTTGCACGTTGTTGACTACAAGCACCGGCAGTCCAGTGCAAGAGTCATCAGCCTAACTGCCCCAAAGACGGAAACGGAGAAAGCCTTCATGGTGGCCTTTAGAACGCCTATCGAAAACTCGGCGGGCGCTCCTCACATCGTAGAACACTCTGTGCTGATGGGTTCTGAGAAGTATCCGGTGAAGGAGCCCTTTGTAGCGCTGATGAAGAGCAGTCTGTACACCTACATGAATGCACTAACCTATCCGGATAGAACTTGCTATCCCATCGCCTCGGTGAATCTTAAGGACTTCTACAACCTTGCCAGCGTTTATATGGACGCAGTGTTTCGACCTAAGGCGCTTGAAGACCACTTGACGTTGCGACAGGAGGGCTGGCGATACGAACTGACGCCGAAGGGCATGACGCCTTCGGATGCGGGGGCAGACGTGCAGACGCAGGTCGAAGAATACGCAAAACAGGCAGCTCAGTGTATAGAAAACCCGTTTGCGTGCGATTTCAAGATTCAAGGGGTCGTTTTGAACGAAATGAAGGGCGTCTACTCGTCGCCGGATTCTCTGCACTCGCGGCTGAAACAAAGAGCGCTGTTTCCCAATCTTCCACATTACAACTTGGACTCTGGCGGGGATCCTAAGGCCATCCCGAATCTCACGTATGAAGAATTCAAGCAATTCTACAACAAAAGATATTTCCCCGGCAATGCGCGTATCTATTTCTGGGGTGCCGATGACGTCAAGAGAAGGCTGGATTTTGTAGACGACTACCTCTCGAAGTTGCCGCTCAGAGAAGGCGGCGACACGACCATCGGCACGCAGCGGCACTTGACAGGTCAGCTTCTTGGTGTGTCTGCGTGTGTGTGTAGCGATGGTGGATTCGGCGCTTTGAGACGAACAAATGCCTGCAAAGGCCGCCGTTCCTCGAATCTGTGCATTCGCGATTCGCCCGTTTCATTCGCTTCCTTGAATTTTTTGTCTCCTTGATCCTCGTGCTCTCAAGAATGCACACGAACTGCGTTTAGAGACCACTCGCGGAAGTGTTAAACTCGCTGCGGCTGATTCTGCGGGTGCAACAAAAATGGCACTGCGCCGAGGTTTCCCCGACGCGTAGACAGTCGGCGTTACATCCTAATTAAGAGTTTATGATGAGGCGCTGGAAGGGAGGGGAGGGTGGGAGGTGGACGCGGCTCCGAGTCTTCTAAGCTAGCAGAACGTGCTTGCGTTCGAGGCTCAGTAGTCTATGGGGTCGCCTGGTGCTGAGTAGAGCAGTTTAAGGCCAAGGCTCAAGAAACGGCATTTCGCCGGCATTTTTTGAATGCATGCTGAGCTCCTGCGTTATCCGACCGCTCAGCGGGTTCCACAGGCCGCCTCCAGCGTTGGTTTGCGGCTGTTCGTGCATGCATGCATGTGGTCGTGTAAACGGTGCGCTGGCGTACGCATGCAGAGCCGCGATTCGTGGAAGAAGCCTACCCAGCGAGCGCTAACAAGCTCGAGGACTATGTCTCGGTGAACTGGGTGCTTGATGCCGTAAGAGAAGACGGCGATTCTGCTCCGCAGCTGGAGGCAGCGGATCGCATGGCTCTCCAGCTTCTTTCCCACCTCTTAGTAAGCACCACTGCAAGCCCTCTGTACAAGGCATTGACGGAGTCTGGATTGGGCAAAAGCATGATCGGTGGTGGATTGGGTTTGGACCTAAGGCATGCGACCTTCTCTGCAGGCCTGAAGGGTATGAAATAAGGCTCTCTCTTGACGCTCGAGCAGCGTAGAGGGGGTGGTTTGATCCTCGCAGCGCTCTTCTGCTGCTGCTCTTGTTGCTCTTGTTGCTGTTGCTGTTGCTGTTGTTCGACGGGAGGAGAGAAAAACCTGATACTCGGGGGAAAAGGGGGGTAGAGGGCACATGCGTGCTTGCATGTGTGCATGCGCTCTTTCTTTCTCGCTCTTTCTTTCACGAGCTACCGCTTTTGTCTTAGTTTCGTGTATTCAGGGAGCCTCCTCCCGTAGATTGCCCCTTTTTCAAGACGCAGAAGGAGTGCTGCGTCTTAAAAAGCGTGGCGCAGCTATAATGTGCATTGGAGACTGCTGTCTTGCTGTCCAATTGTCGCGCGGCCGTTGCTTCTGCGAGGATTTTCTGTGCTGCGAAAGGCGCTCTAGCGATGGTATTCGATTGTCTTGCGTGTGCATGCTGTCGTCTGCTCAGGCCTGCCTCAGGACGGTGATATGGCTGCCGCAGTTGAGTCGGTGATTTTCAAGTGCCTCAAGACGTTGGCGAACGAGGGTTTCTCGCAGGACGCTATCGATGCAGCGCTCAACACCATGGAATTCACGCTGAGGGAACTCAACACGGGCACATTCCCCAAGGGTCTAGCCATCATTTTAGACATGGCAACAGAGTCCAACTACGATCGAGTAAACTGGTGCTGCCGCTGCCTGGGGGGAGGGGGGAGGGGAAAGAGGGAAAAAGAGGCGCGAGGAGGGGCGGGAGAAGGAGGGGACGCGGGTGTTGATTCCCATAAAACAGCCTTCTTGGGGAGAAAACGCACGCAGAATGGCCTCTGTTGTGCTGCCGTCAGCTGCCGCATGCAGAGAAATAGCTCGTGCAGAGAAATAGCTCGTGCAGAGAAACAAACAGCGCATGCAGAGAAACAGCTCGTGCACAGAAACGAAGAGCACATGCAGAGAAACGAAGAGCACATGCAGAGAAACAAAGAGCACATGCAGAGAAACAAAGAGCGCATGCAGAGAAACAAAGAGCACATGCAGAGAAACAAAGAGCGCATGCAGAGCTAGGCCACTTATTTACGCGAAGGGCATCTCGGGAGCGCTGCGGCGGTTGCCACCAGTCAATCTGTCTATATTCCTGTATTTATTTATTTATTTATTTATCTATAAATAGGAGTATATAGATTGATGCGTATAAGTGTACAGTGATTTGCGTCGCAGCGGTTCTCTGCCGTATTGCAGGGTCGTTCGACTACGTCGGATGAGCGTGTTTCGCGTGTTTGTTTGTTGCGGTGAGAGCAGCGCTCTGTCGATGCGAATGTTTATCGCGAATTTGCTGCCTGCATTCTGCATGCTCTTGAGTCTGTGTGGTGGTTGGTGCTCTGCTGCAGGACCCTGTTGCTTCCTTAGCGTTTGAGAAGGCGTTAGATGCCGTGAAAGAACGTCTCAAGGCTGGCGAGCCGCTTTTCCAGAACCTCATCAAGCGGTTCGTTTGTCAGTGTAGCAGTGGTGGCGACGAATGTGTGTGCAGTTCGGACTGTGTCGAACTGCCGTTTTATGCCCCTACTTTGCACGTCTTGCGTTCCTTCGCTGCGCTGCGGCGAGTGCCGTCAGTCTGCCGCCTGCTCACGTGGAAAGGCGAGGAGGATTTTTTTCGTGGCGTGGAGGATGAGTGGCTTTCTCCCGCTGGTGATCGTGTTCCTTCGCTGCTGATGCAAACGTCTTTGCTGCGCCGATGTGTTCCTTGGGCTGCTATCGGCTCAGGTATCTCTTGAACAATACCCATCGGGTGACTATCAAGTTGAGGGCAGACCCCACCATGCAGGAAAGAGAGGCTGCGCAAGAGGCTGAGAAGCTCAAGAAGATTCAAGAGGCTCTCACTCCAGACGTCGTGGAAAGCATTCTCACGGATCAAATATCTTTGAAGCAGCGACAAGTACGGCAGCGGTAGAGAGAGAAGGGGGTGGGGTGCGGTCGGCGTGCAGGAGGGGGGGAGCGACAGGCATGATATATATATATGTATATCCATCCTTTACATTTCCCTCGCTAGGTGTCTTCCTCCTCCTCGCTTCTGCCAAGGCTCTGTCTGCCTCTCTGTTGCGTTCCGTTTCTCTGGAGAGGCGTTCTATGCCTTGTCGACCTCATTATAAGCCCTCCCCACCGATTCGCAGATGTCTCCCCTACATGCATGTTCGTCCATGTGGCAGTAGCGAATTTTCGGCTTTGTTTGGGGTATTGCGAGCGAGAGACGCCTTCGCCAGCTCTCAGAGTGTAGGGAGAGTGCTGGCATGGACGCACAGTTTGCAGCCACGGGAGTGAGGGTGGGGTGGGGTTGTGGGGTGTGGGTTGCTGACTGAAGCTGCTGGACGACACGGAGGAGGCGCTTAAAACTATTCCCGAACTGGAATTAGCAGATGTTGAGGAGGTAGGTGTTGCTGTTGGCAGCGACTCCTGTCGTGTGGAGGCGCTTAGACGTTTGTGCACAGGCCGCTGTCTGACTGTTTTGAGGGGGTAGGAGCTGTGGCTTTCTCCCTGCTGCCTCCCTGCCTGTATGTATAGATGTGTCTTTATACATATATATATGCATGTATATGTGTATGCGTATGTATGTGTATGTATGCATGTAAATATGTATGTACATATATGTATTCTTGGATGTAAATATGTATGTATATATGTGTGTATGTAAATATGTATGGGTGTATACATATATATATGCATATATATGTATGTATATGTATGGATATAAGTACGTATGTATATACATGTAGGTATGCATGGACATAGGTGTTTTATGTATGGGGTGTATCTTGTCTTCCTTCGGCCCCCTGTGTACCCTCATATTCTTCTGCAGGAGCATGTGTCTGTGTCGAAGCTGCGCGGTTATCGGCTTGTTTTCTGCGGCTTCTTTTGCAGACGGACAGTGAAATTCCCTACGCAATCACGTCGGTCGAGAAGGTTCCTGTCGTGACGCACTCCCTTCCAACCTCCGGCATCTTGTACACCGAAGTGTATGTTTCCTTGGCCTCTTTGGAGCTGAAAGACATGGCATTGTTGTCGCTCTTCACGCGAATGTTGACAGAAGCGGGAACGTCAGACATGACGGCTGATGAGCTGCAGCATCTCATTGGCAAAACTACTGGTGGTCTCAGCGCCTCTGCAGATATTCGCTCCATCAGCGCGTTTCCAAACACCGTTGCCGATCCTTTTTCGTCTCTCGGCTTCCTCGTTGTCTCTGGAAAGGTGAGCAAGGCCGTTTGCAGGCGAAAAACGGAGACACAGGGCATGCCGCTGAGTGGTGTGGTGGCGGTTGTTTTTTTTTTTAAAGAAAAGTGGCCAGAAGGCCAGGCAGGGCAGACAAACACATGAACGCACACACAGATACACACATACATACGTACGCACAATATGCACACATGCATACACATATACATGCATGCGCATATTGTGCACACATACACATATTGTGCACACATGCATACACATATACATGCATGCGCATATTGTGCACACATACACATATTGTGCACACATGCATACACATATACATGCATGCGCATATTGTGCACACATACACATATTGTGCACACATGC